TTTTCCCTATGCTTATTATTGGATCAAAACTATAATATAAATAATACATGAATAAGATTATAAAAACAAACACATAATTGATGTTATTCTTTTTCGGTGGAATCAACCAAAATCAACAGAAAGTTTTGTCTACACCTTAAATCATTGGTGTGCCTACTTTGCCATCTAAGACTATCTTTATTTTTTTCCTAAATAAAATAAAAATAAATAAATAAGATAAATAATATTTTATTTCTAGCCCTACTTAATTTTTATCTCTCTTTTAACCCTAAAAATATATTCATAATATATTCTATTTTTTGTTAGTTATATAAATGTTGAGACAAATATATTATACTAATTAGTTTTTAACAAATATATATTATATATTTTTCATTACAATAATATTATAATATATGTTATCATAAAACTACATTAAAATAATTGTTCGTGTATTAAAACTACATTAAAATAATTGTTCGTGTATTAAGAATTTGAATTAATTATTAAATTATTGAAAAAATAATTAAACAAATATGATTATATTTATAATACACTTTTAAATAAATATTATACATGTATCTTATATAAATAATACATTTGAAAATATCAAAAAAAAATAAATACATATGTATGCGTTGAAATAAATTTCTCATAAATGATCAACTAACGCATTTAGTAGACTAAAGTGAGTTTCTTTATAAGTTTATATGAATATTAATACGTTCATATCAAGCAAACATTGTTGGAATTAATTGTTTTCATCCATTGGTGTTTCGACGTCTATCGGTGGCACTTCTTTTGCAACTTCAATTGGAATGTCGAGATTATTTTCAACATCGATTATCATATTATGTAAAATAATAAATATAGTCATTGTATCATATAATATTGTATATTTTATTAGAATATGTTACCGTATGTATAAGATATATTTCAATTAAAAACTTTTATAAAATATGTTATCGTTTTTTAAGTTTTTAGTATGTACTAAATTTTATATGAATTTGATACATAAGTATTAAACCTTAAATTATGATTAATTAATATAAAACAAGATATTACAAATATTAATATTATATTTAAATGATAACTAGTAGATAATAAAATAAAAGTGTATAAATAAAAAAAAAACTAAAATCGATAAGTTCGTTTTTTAAAAAATAAATAGTATTCATTTATATGTAGAGAAATATCATTTATATCTCAAAAAATAGGGATATAAATATGATAGATCGGAGAATAATGAAATTTGAGATGGATTGGATCGTAGATACTCTATATGGTTATAGAAAATAAATTATAAACTTTTAACTATAAAATAAATATTATCCTAAAGCATTTCCAAAAAAATGTTACTATTATAACACATGCAAAAGTTAATATAATATTACGAATTCGATATCGAAAGAAGGAAATTCCATTTGAAAAAACATATAAAAACTATTATTTAGTATTTATTTTTATTAATGAAAATTATTATATGTTTGTTTTATAGTATATATTTATTTTTTATATGTCTTTTATGTTCTTTTAAGTTTTTCTGGTTAGTTTCTTAGCTAGTTTTATTAAACATTAATTTTTATGAGCTAACAATAAATTTTCAACTAATTTGTTATTTGTTAAACATAATTTTAAAGGTAAAAACAATTATGTTAGTTTTAACAACAAAATTAGGTGCACCATGGGCGACCAATATTAATAAGGATCTATAAATAATTTTGTAAGCCCAATATATATGTATATTAAAATATCAGTTGTGATTTATGAAAGCCCTTAAAATGTAATAAATGTCAACCACCAAGTATCAGTTGTGATTTATTGTAAGTCTACCATAATTTATAAATAGGTCAAAATAGGTAAAAGATGCACAACTTTTAAATTGTAAAGATTGCGATCAAATTGCGATCATTTGAGAAATGAAGCGTCAGTCAAGTGATTGTGGAAGCAACAATAATCTTTGAACAAATCTTGGTAGTTTAAAATTACCACCATTTTCTCATGTTTTCTATGGTGTATGTGGAAGGCGATGAGTGTTCAACAATATACACTTGTCTCCTATAAAAATTGCATATGATGTTATCTCACCATCATTTCTTTGGTATAAATATAGAAGTAAACGAGATAGGTGTAATTGGGTTGAGTGGATATGCTTCCCATTTTTTTATGTAGAAAATTGTAATGTACTCTGGTTCCTTTTGGCTAATTCCTTCTTAGCTCCTTGCTAAGTTGAGTGTCAGCGGTCTATTTTTAATATATTTTCATTTGCCGTTTCTAAAAAAAAAAAACTAGTTGATTTTCTATTGAAATCGACTACGTGTTGATGTTCTATTGAAATCGACTACGTGTTTAATTAATTATTTCGTTTCAATTTTCATTGATTCAATCGACTGGTATGTGAAGATGCAAAATTGAAAAGCAAAACATAAGACTTGGTTATTCTTATTTACACTTACCAATTTAATTTAGTTGATATGAATATTAGTGGAAGTTTTTGTGTATAAGTTGTTTTGCGATATATATATATATATATATATATATATATACTATCTTATTATACAAACCTTATTATTTCTAAAAATATATTTAAGACGTCCAAACCTTTCAGCTGAATATACAAACATTTATCAACAAATTACAAAATACAATGCATTAAGTACAAATATAAAACTAATATTGAAACATTCAAACCACATCTTTATCTTATTCAATATAAAGGATTTAAATTTTAAAATAAAATCATAGTTTTTGACTAGAATGAGTGAACATAAAATTAAGAATTAAGGTATGTAAATTAAATAGCCTTTGACCCAGCTCCTTTCGGTATCTCTGCAGTCCCCTATATCTAGATATTCAAATAGAAACCCCGTTGGGCACATTAATCTAGCATCAGTTTTATCAAGAAACCCTAGACGTCGACTTCGACTCCCCTGATTCTCTCTCATGCTTGCCGCCTCTGCTTCCACCTATGGTTTTTCTTTCTACTACAATCGAATGAGCAAAAAATGTCTTTTGTTTAATCCAAGCCCATGTATACAAAGTCTTGATCTGTTCTTCATTTTGTACTGCTTTTGAGTTTTGAAGATCATATATGAGTTTGGGAAAATGGAAGGAGAATCGCACGACCAGAAGAGCGACAACGTTTACAACTGCCAACCCCCGACACCACCACCACCGATTCTCCCTTCTACGACAGGTGGCTATGTGGTGGCTTGACTGAATGCGTTCGACTATGGCTCATGGTGGTGTTCTATTTTGTTGAAGGGCCGACTGTGGTGATGTTTCATTCTATCCAAAAACCAAACAGCGTCACTAATCCGTTATGAGATTCAAATTTTAATCTTGGATTCCTCATATCTCGGCGTTTCCCCATTTTTAGCTGAAGTTGAACGATTCCTGTTTAAAGTTGGGAGAATCATTCAAATTGGAATAAATCAAAACTCGCACTTCACGCATTCTTAGGGCTCACCTCCTTCGCCTTCGACTACCATCTATCTCTAGCCACGGAATACCGCTTCTCTATGAATTTCTCAGTTAGTTCAGTAAGCTAGCGACAGAGTAATTTTCTTGGTGGTTTATTGCCGTCACCGTCACCACATGTTCTCTCTCTGTGTGTATCTGTTTTGTGTGTGTATTTGCACTGATTTTTTGAAGTCTTTTTGGGAGACGAGTGAAGAAGGCTGCCGATGCTAAGGTATGAAATTAGTTTATGTTTTCCTCTACTTCTCTGTGATTTTTTATACATCAGAACTTAGGGCATGTGCCTATTTCATACATCAGGTCACTTGTGTATATCGCTAATGTTTTAGCCAAGATTGTATTCTTCTTTTTAATTTTCCCTATATTCCATGGCTGAAATTAACTTTATTTTTTATTAGGTATTATTTGTTATGGCGAGCATTGTTGATGTTAATCATGTTTCTTCATCTTCCTTTACGTTTTTTTTCATACATCAGAAGTTAGAGCTTGCATATATCGGCTTGCACATATATGAATCCTCATAGCATTTGGGAATTTTATGAAATGAGGAAATGGATGATGGTTAGCTTTTTATTTCCATTAGTTTTTTCTTCATATTGTATACTAATCAGATATCCACCAAATCTTTATTGTTTCTTGATTCTTTTTCATCTATTTGACTTGAAGTGATTCAAGGAGATTAAAAGTTTCCCCACCATTGTGATGGTTGCATGCATTAAAGTCTCTCTTTTTTTTTTTTTTTGAATTTCTACTTTCTGCAACTGGAATTTCAGGTAACTTGCAAATTTTACTACATGTAACATTATTAATTCACGTAGTAAGAGTGTAACCATTTAATGTCTCTAATCTTTTGATGAAATTAGAGAAAAGAAGTAAAATATATTGCCGCCACAGCCCACATGTGGATAATAGGTAGAATTGTTTACTCTACACTACATTTGAACAGGATCCATATTTCTATAGGTTCCCGACCAAACTTTTTTGATTTTACTTTTGAGGTGAAAATTATAAATCAACCTTGCTTAAGGATTAGAATTTGATGGCATTTTACCTTTTTTTTTACCATGCCCTTCATAGGCATTGCTTGATGGGTAAAAAAGGTACTTTTCTAATTTTCCTTCTATCTAAAAATGCCCTTCATTTTGACATCTAAATATTATGGAATAATTTTTCTAAAAACTGTTATGTTTCCAATTGATAATGTTGGCGAAAGAGGTGGATCTTCAACATGTTTTGACAAACTGGGGGTAAAATGGTCCAAGTTTTTGAAACTTGCCAAAACAACAACCATGAGTCCATAAACCCCAAGGGTGTTCCAGATCAGATCTTACATCACCCATGATAGCATCATACATACATGTTTGTACAATGTTGCTCATATTTTGAGGGTTCATGGGCTTATTTTATGTTTAATTAAATTTATGATATTTTAGTTCTTATTTTCATTTTTTGTCGTTTTTTTTTACTTATGGTTTGTTCCTGGACATGATTTTTTTCATTTGTTGACACATATTTAACCAATCTATTTCAGATCTCTATTAAAACATTGTACTTTCACCACCGTCTTTGTGTCCCACCATCTTTTCACATGTAAACATCAGTTTCTACCATCACATGGTCATTTTTATATCTACATTTACCTTTTTACCCTTTTTAATCATTTACCAATCTTAAGTGGTACTAATTCTTCAACCTTCACTTTGTTCTTGGGACTTGTTTCAGTTGGTTGTCCCAGATATCCGGCTTAAACAACATGATATTTCTCCAAGTGACCAAGTAAGTTGCTTTAAGTTTGGATTGAGTAGTGCTTTTTTCAAAACTACTTATTTTACTTTTTTGATCGGTTTTGTCCTATTGCTTGTTAATTTGATTATGATCACATCATCATTAGTTAGGTAAATCATTTCTACTTTATATGGTTTGATTGTAATACACTTACTAGGAATATGTAATATTTTCTAGATGTCACTCTCAGGTTCAAGAAGGAGAAAAAATGAAGTAGATAACAAATGTTTTTTATTTGCAGGTTTAAAAAAGGGAAAAGGTTTAGAAAAGAGAACTTGAAGTTCCTGGATTGATGTGTTTTTATGGTAGCAAATTTGTACTCAAATGACAAAACAAATATCGATTTTCAGTTGATTTTTATGTAATCGTTAGATATAAATGATTTTTAGAAGTGGAGATATGTAATGTAATATTTAGAATTTTATCAAACATTAATTGGAAGCAAAATCCAAGCTCAAAGTCAGAAAATGAATGGGAGCAGGTTGCAATAAAATTAGGTGAAGGAGGTGGGATCCATATTTTGGTTAGTTGAAGATGATTTGAATCAATACCACATTACCGATTACCGATTGAAATTTAACGTTTATTTGAAACAACTAAAAAGAATAGATTACTTATGATTGAATAACATTGATAGTGGGTTTTTCTAGCCCTCCAACATATGTTCATCTTGACAAATAATTTGTAAGAAGTTTTGTATAAATTACAATAAAATGTTACATTAGAACCCCTAGAGTTTCTATACTTTTTATTTTGACCAAACTTAAAGATTTAAGTTATTAGAAAGTGAAATAAACATAGAATGATAGCATTAGTTTTGAAGTAAATCTTTAGCTAAAAGAAGTTATTACTTGAGTTTTAGAAACCAACCACATAGTTTTGAAAAATTAAATTATTGCCCGTTAAAAGTAGATAGTTATAACAAACAAACTAATAAAAAAATATGTTGTTATATCCTTCATTTGTCCCTAGCAACGAACAATGCTTAAGTATATTTCTGAAAGTAATTTTCCATGCCATTGAGTAGTCTATAATCGTGTTTTAAAGTTATTATTATAGATATGTCACAATTAACATTTATAGTCTTCTTTTGCTATAAAATAACAAAAAATTTAATAGAATATATGTTTTAAGTTTAGAGGTTAGTGCCATGCTAAATAAAATATGTTGAAACTCTTTGTGGTTTGGTACATTTTTATAAATATATAATTTAATAAATTTATTTAATATTACTTTATTTCTAACAGAAATTTTTTAATATTTATATAAAAATATCTTATTCATACTCAAGAAAACTAATTTGAATAAGTGCTAAATCAAATTTACGATATAAATAAGTACCAATAAGACATAATTGGCCAATTTAATGTTTGGATAAAGAAAATGAAAATACAAACAACAAAGTATTTGTTACAAGTCGAAAACAATCAAGCATATGTTACATTATCAATAGGTATATTATGTGCCAATACAAAAGTATAGTGAACAATTCAAAATTATTGAAGTCTATACATCAAATAAGGTGTATATAAAAATGTTGCACGATTAATAATGCAAAATCGATAATGTGTTCATGTACATTTGTAAAGAATTCTAAATTTTTATTTTTAATTCTTATTGATTTCGTTCTTGCTAGCATGACTCTTACTAATAATTGTTTAGATGTAGTAAACTATTCGCACCCGTCGCTTAGCGCGGGTAAACGGCTAGTATGTATGTATAT